TCATTAGAGCAGGTGGATTCCCCATGAAGAAAATTGAAACTTTCTGAGAAATGGTAAAATTTGACTGAAGCTACAGTTTAGAGTAAAGTAGGGAATGAATTACCAAAAAAAACTGACCACTGGCATATTATCTACAACGGGCACAGTAACGGTAGCACGAGATGTCCTTCCAAATTTCGTTTTCACAGAATCGCGATAGATTGGTCCAGTCACCCATCTGCAAATAATCATACAGGAGAATGCAGAAAAAAAGTCTCTCGAAAAATAATGTATCATTTCCTTCCACCCCGCTTATTATATCGAAAACCTTATTAGCAACCCCATATTAGTAAAAGCTCACTGTCCATCGGTAACCGAACGCCGCATGGGTAACAAGGCTGTACGCCATCGTACGCGCACCTCACTTCGTCGTGGTTCCGTCACCATACTGAAAAGGAATATTTTTGAAGTAAGGTGTGACAACCACAGATAATTTTGAAAGCAAAATTATGCCAGAGATGCTGGCAAGGGGTACTGAAGTTTCAAAATTTTCCCTTCAAAGGAACCCAGCCACATTCAGCTAACTTATCGCGTAATTGGGCGTGCATGGAGTCATTCTACTGGTTAGGATCCAGATTGGTAGGGGAGCTAAGCAGCGGGATTATTCCTATTTGGGTGGTCCCATTTGACCTGATTATTTCCCATGGGTCGTACCCTGTCCCCAATGAGACGCGTCTCGCTGCTGACAATATCCTAAGCTTGTGGGAAGGTTGCGTCATAGGACCCGCCATTGAACGCGTGATGTTGTAGCTACCCTCCCTGTTGAGGCACTCTTTTCTCTGAGGGTCGCGCTGTCTGGAGTCTAGAAACGCAGTAGCTGGTCCTATGACGCAACCCTGTCTCCCCCAACCATAGGATAAGATCAGCGGTGGGAGACGCGTCCCCTGGGGGAAGGATAGGACACGGCCCCGTGCTATGAGGTCACGCGAGGTTTGTGCCAGACTTCATAAACACTGAGTCGAGCATCGGCTACCTCTTTCAAGCATTACACAAACAGAAGTCCACCGCCGTCGAATGGGCGTGTCTGTGGCCGTCGCCGCTGATGAAAGACGAGCGGATAAACTGTTTCCAGATGCTTTGCTGATATCCAGCGGAGTATTTAGAAACAGCTATCCACACGACTTCTATCAAGTGCGGCTATGTTCACGTCAAATCCATAGACACGACTAGTCTGACTTCGAGAGATAGACCGTAGGTACGCATCTAACGGTTAGTTCTGCAATTTCAAAAGTGGGTATCGCGGATGGCGCGTCCCGTGCAGACTGATCAAACCAAATCGCGATAGTTCGAAGCTAAGAAATAGCTCTGATACCAAACAGTTGGGCATATTTTTCACAAATCCTTCTTTCACAGCAGACGCATCGCGTTAGGTGAATACGAGGAGCCTGATTTTTATCTACGACATGAAACGAACACAAAAATAAGGTTGCCTAGAATTTCCCGTGAACCTACCTTGCGACTTCATAACAAGCAAGATGAATGCCCTCGAACCGCAAGAAATTGGACGAGTCATCCTTGCAAAGCATCATGGTTGAGCCATCTATTGCTAGTGCCACACCTTGTTGTGGTCCAAGAAGACGCAAATCATGGAGAATAGGCTGAATGAGATTCACGTATTGATATAAATCATGGCTTGCCAAAATATACAGCAAAGTACTTACAGCTTCGTTACTTGATATCTCCTGAAGTACGTACTTTTCGCGAGGAGTTTGAGGTTCGCATAGTATTACCTTGCAACAGCCACCAAAATAGACACCAGAAAAATCACCTTAAACTTCCATTCAAATAACGTTCTAGAACCTTTAACTCCTTGATTTCCAAATTTAATAGTGTAAAAACCAAGTGATGATCGCCCCGGCCAGCCGCCTCCAACCTCTCAGGACCGATCGAAGACCATTCCATCCTTCCTTAGACTAATTCCTAGCAGAGTAGTTTGAGAGGATTAAAACGGCAACTTGGCGTCGATGCCACAGCAGTACCGAGTCAACCGCATTCAAATGCAATGCAGTATGACTGGGATGCGTGGCGACTTCCAAGCAAGCCAATATCAGACGCAGAGTTACGCATTAGTCTCTGCTACAATGAAACCATTAAGCGGGCCTGGCGTGCACAAAACGTACAAGCAAAACCCTTCCTAAATAAAAGGCAATTCCCGATTAAACTGTGCTAGGGCACTATGTAGTGATAGCTTAGCTGCGAACGACCTGAAAGTGGAAGAGGAAAGAGCAAGAGAAATCCTTGGGAAACGCTGCAATTAAGGCCTTAAACTTCAATAGGGTCGGATGTGGTACGATGGCGAGACAGGGCGGATCAAAGAAGACAAAATACGCGAGAGAGCACGTCGTTGAGAGAGCACGCTGATCTCACCACCTCTCGCGGTGGTGGAAGCGTTGCAATGGGAGTCGATGGTTGCAGGCCCGTAAGGATTAGCGCCCTAACCGCGCAGTTTTGCAAGCGAAGATGATTAATCTAGTAGGTAAAGACTTTACATTACATTGACGATATTATGGTATGCCTGCCCAACTAATTATCCTTCCAAAAAATCGGACTTCCAAACTAATATCCTTTCCAAACATCGACTGATCACCGGGGGCCTTTAAGCATTCTCGAACGGTCCGAGCAACACAAATTTGGTTTCACCACACTTTGAAGACATAAGGCTTATTATGAAACTGTTGCTCACCAACATGTACGATTTTGAATTCATCACAGAATGTTTGTTATGGAACCATACACACCTTTTACGTCCAACAACTGTTTAGGCCTAGTAGATAGCTTGACGTTGAAGCAGAATGTTCGCAGACTGCTCAGATTGCCCGACGGGGTCATACACATGAGTGCAGTGCTATAACGAAATAAAAATTGAACAACAAAAAAACTGTCCAAACTCACTACAAAAGTTTCTTAGCTAAAAAAGATGCAGCAGAAAGAAGAACACCAAGTCCCTACATTTCTGTATATTTCATCGAAGCTGTACAAAGTGCAACTGTGAGTGAGGTTGAACGTACTAGAGAACGTCGTCCTCAAGTCCTGCCGCATGTATTTTGGAAAACTGACGACATACAAACAATCGGCAAATGAGATGAACAGGTGGAACTAAATTTTGACGAAAAGCTCTCAAACATGCGCTAACCGATAACCCACATTCTTGTCCAGCTGTAGCAAAGCCTTGAAACGAGGTGGCTGAATCTCGAAGACAGCTATCGATGGACTAGGACCAATCCGCTCAGACCCTATACGCGATAGAAACCGGATACCAATACAAACAAATCCATATTTCACAGAGGTTTATGTTCGCAAAACCCTTCTTGAGAAGTGACAGAATAATGCTAACCATTATCGTTTCCTGGTAAGACGGCTCTACCCAACAGCCACACTTCAGAGAAAGCTTTATTCCAATGAATATGCCTGAATTTGCGCAAAAAATAGACCAGGATTTTGAAAAAATATGCACCCCCAAAAAAGTCTAAGCATGACTGCAACTAGTATTGCACTTACTTGAATTTGAAGCGCCGAATAGGTAACTGGAACGTGTGCATGCACTCGCCAGTGTTAATATTGCAGAAGCGTAAACGACCAAGGTTTGAAAGACGAGTAGAATGTATTCCGGTACAGCTCCATCCTAAAAAAAAGCTCAGTCGCATATTAACATAAGTACAAATATTGAAAAATTGCACAAGTACATATTGCACTGCTATTCATAGAAAATGTAGTTAGAAAGATCTGAATTTACGTTCAGGACAAGCGAAACTCTCAAATAGACTCACTTCTCTTGGTGGCTGAGAATCGACCATTAGCGTGCTTACTATTCTTTCAGAAAAGTCAAGACCTAAGATGGAAGTAGTTTTCAGAGAATCCATCGAGACTAGTTGATGACACATTGGCATTATTAGCCGTCGACTAAAGCACCATAATTAGTAAATTGTAGCGACTTGGTTAGTATCATAGCTAAAGCTACACCATGAGTAAGTAGCCAGACCACGTATTCGAAAGGTTTCCGAAGGCGATATCTTTCTCGTTTCTAAAAATAGGGCGATGAAGAAATCTTAAAAACGGTTGCAACTAAATTAGAAATCTAAATACGAAAACGAATCAGTGAACGAACAATATCGTAGTCGATTTTTGATGACCCAGACGCACCGCCAATTTGCATTAAACTCAACACGTTCACAACATGAACACTGGACTGACGGTGTTTCGCATGTAAATGGAATTTTTCCACAGATCCAAGTAAATTGCGTGAAAACTGCAACGACGTACTGACACTAATTGTGGATAACAATAAACAAAACTAGAAGATCGTACCTCCTCGGTCATGAAGGCTCGGTTTGTCCCCGAAGAACTCGGCCGATCATCGGACTGTACCGACCTTGGGATTTGACTTGGTTCTTCTACGACATCGAGCGATACTTTCAAAGAAAAAGAGTAACAACAAGAAAAAAAGAACCTCTAAATTTGTACTATGGTTCTTACTCTACGACTTAGCGCCACAGAGAGCTTTAATTGAGCACCTTCAAGACATCATTGATAACAGTACCAATGTCATTCTATTATAGTTGTGCCCACAGACTTAAGCAAATGAAATACTGGCAATCACTCAGACATAATCAGTGCCCAGGTACCAATACACGCATAAATTGAATATATCAGAGGCTGAACTTTGCTGTCACCGAACAACACCACCAGAAAGCATAATCTTTTATACATATTAATTATCATTCGTTAAAGACACATTCACATACTTAAAATCTCCGTATTTTTCACCAGACAGCAGAAATGGTAAACAATAGTTTACAAGCAGCTCTCGAGCAATTATACAAGTACGAAGAAAAATGGAAGAACTAGATAGCGTAGATCATTTCAGCGATATCTCGAGCAATATTTTTGCCTTGTTCATCCACAACTGCGTCTTTCATTCTGCTCACGATCTGCAGCATATTCCTCGACTTTGCGAGCTGAAATTGAGCTTGTTGAGGGTAAAGAGAGAAACTTTTCGTTCCACAAGAATTCTTGGTTATGTACGAAACATTCGCCCCAGGCCAGCACATCTTAATGCATCTCTCGAAAATATTAAAAAAGCGAGGTCCCTTGCGGCAGACGCGCGAAAAGTCGCGCTGTCACCAATGTGTTCTAAGGTTGTAATGTGGAACTGCCTGTCTGTCAAACTCTAAAGCCCAAGTTCCATGCTGCAATTGAGAACGAGGAGCCCAGCTAAAAGACAACTGCATGACATGCCTCTACCCATGATCACTGACTGTGAGACACCAGCTACATTTCGAAATCAGGAAGAATTTGTCGCTACTGTTAAAAAAATATGCCACGCAAAATCACAGCTAATTCCTCTGACTGCTCCATTTTGAGCAATATCCACCTTATATCTACAGTTTCGTATGTGAACTGAATGGATAGGTAAGGAAATAAAATATCACTCACACTAATAACTGATGTGTCGCCCCACATAAATGTAACAATTGCTTGTAGTAATCTAATCATACTGTCACGACTGAGGTAGCCAAATGAGTCAATCTTTTCGCAAACCTGGAAACAAATATGTTTTTTTAAATCATGCACGAGATATTGTAATTTCAGTAACGTGCATTTTTCTACCTTTACTATTCCCCGAATCGCGTCTTCTCTTGGTCCCAACTCAGCAACAGTTTCTGAACGGTTCAACAGCAATAAACTCCAGTTAGCTAGTGTAGAAGCAGCAGCTAGCTAAAATGAAAACTTCACGACCAGTTCAAAGACGAACCCGCCAATCGTTAGTAATCAAAACAGCAAAAATACCTACTTGAAGAGCTGCTTTATTGCTCTTTAACTGGTTGACTACTACAGCGAACAGGTTTTGAAAGTCATGGCAAAGCATCTCACGACCGCATGGATGGATGAAGGCATTTGCTAATGATCGGCAGACGAGAATACACACGGCGTCTGGAGCTTCGCTCAACAGAAGTGCGCATAGTCGTTGTTGCGTACTTTCGCCTCTGCCCTAAAAACTCATAAAATATATATCAAACAACAAATAAAAACATAGTTTGCACGTCAAGCAAATACGCTCTGTGGACAAGTTAGACCACAACCTCTCAGAACGATTACACCTGATGCAACACGTATAAAGAAGAATTAGGGAGTCTCGGCTTCTCGATCTTGATCGAGCTGTACAGCGCATTATTCTTCCATTCGGATTTGTGACGGCATTCAAGCACATAGCTGGGTACTACCTTAGTTGGGGGGACCACGCGGCGGCGCGGCGCTCTGTTCGTCTGCTCCTCAAAGGCTTAGTCCAAGGGGCAGTTACTATTTCGTCGCCACGTGGCAGTTTCGAAATACGCGCCATCGGCGGACTAAGCCTTGGAGGAGCAGACGAACAGAGCGCCGCGCCGCCGCGTGGTCCCCCCCCAACTAAGTTAGCACCCATAGCTGGTCTATGCAACGAGTTATAAAGGTCAAGCAATGTCAAAGTGTTCCCTGAGCAAAAAATAGACGAATGTAAGGATACTCGGATAGAGGATTAGAATGTTGGTTGTCACACACTGTTTTAGGAGATATTCATTTGTGGTTTGATCCGTGGACAGTGAATGTGACAAACTTCACCCCGCCATTTCTGTATACCACCTAAATACATATGCCTAATGTAGTTGGAAAGGTAAAAAATTACGACTAGAATGACTGCACAGCGGTAGGGTATGTTTCTTCCGAAGCTACTTGAAGCGAATTTGGTAAAATTCGTAAGGGATAGTTCGACAGCAGGTGGGACCGCAGGGCATGCGAGCACTTCTGGGCATACCGTTAACAAATATTTCGATGGAAACTAAAATTGACATGATGGAAACAAGCGTAATGCATATACCTTCGTATTTTTACATACCTTCATATCACAGAAGAAAGTGTTAAGCCGTTCATGCAGAAGTGCAACACGGAAAGCGTCGAGAATCGGAACCAAATCACACATAGCCCATTGCAAGCCGACATCGAGCGCAGCCGCTATGACGTCGTATTCAATGGCATGATTACCCGGCGACATTAATTGTTTAATAGCAGAAACCTAAAGGAAGAATTATGTACTAGAGTGGTTTCAAATAATATGCCATCTCCATTCACCTGGACATCGCTCAACCTCAATACCGGCTGATTTTCGTTGAGCTCGACGAGTTTCGCGTGAGCTTTTGTGCTTAGTTGTTCAACACCGAATCGATAATAATGCGACATGGGCACCAATTCCCCACGAGGTTTCTTCTTATCTTGTGGAAGGCAGGCATTAGGTATCAAATCGCCCGATACAGATCCTGGTTTGTACCTAAACACAACATCTATTGGAGATGCCAAAATGAGCATTCAATTAAAAGCACCAACCCTCCAGTACTCGTATATGGATCCCCGCCAGCTGGAGCTGGGGCATCCCCGAAGTTTCCAGGTACGTATCGCCCAGTTCCTGTGAACGGATCCGCAACCGTGGCTGGCGAAGGTGCTTCAGACGACTGGCCAGGAACATATCGACCGCTACCTGGAAAATCGAAAATGTTTTTCAAGCAGATTAGAATCCGTAATGCAATGGACACTGCTGAATTTGACTTGCCTGTAAATGGATCATAGAAAGGTTGACTAGATGAAGCAGATGCACCAGTCTGAGAGCGCAAAAGACCTGCTACCTAAACATGCGCATGAAAAAGGAGGGAGGCAATAACCCAAATAAAGTGGAAAAAGTGAAGGAGTGAAGACCTTTGCTAAGAAGGATATTGGTAAATTATGTTTTTCTACAAATCGTTGCGCTGCAACATCTGGATCCTCATCCATGTTAAACGGAAGTCGAAGTTTCCGTCCATCATCCACCGTAACATCGAAAACGTAGTCATATTCCTGATAAGAACAAAAATTTTCACAAGAAAACCAATTATAGAGGAACGCAGTTTCTGAAGTACATCAATTTCGAACACAAGAAGTTCTCAACACGGGCAACAAAAGCCCTCGTCAACGATGATTACCTTCTAAAATATCTCACTTCGGGAGATGGTGTAAGAAACATTTGAATGACATGAATGACAACAAAATGAAAAACCGGATACGAAACGAAAAAGGTTTTAGCTACAAAGCTTCGATCAAAAGGTTAAAAATTATACACGTCTTTCGTCCAGATAGCGAAAAACTGCAAATAAAAAGGAAAAAAGTCAAAAAAGGAGAAAAGAAGTCAAAAGCACGATTAACGAATATCACTTTGAACAAATAAAAAACCTTCCCATCCACCGTAACCCGTTGTGTAGGCTGCAGTTTATGCTTCTTCCTAGCAGCAGCGGCTGCTTCTGGAATGTGCGCCGTGATATAATCCGTGATTTCATTTAAATACGATGCCGGTAGGTTGTAATCCTCAAACAATCAACGATTTAATGAACCAATATTAACAAAGCTTTTTTGTAGGACTAATAGGTAAGTTAAGAAAAGAAGCATCAAGATAAAACAGCACGAACGTAGCTTTAAAAACAAAATCCCAACCTGGATGAATTTTTCCGCAGCCAAGGTTGGATCAGTTCCTTTAGTATTATTATAGCGCAGTCCATATTTGGTGTGCTATCATCAAGTGATACTTTGATAACAACTGTTTCATTTGCCTATAACGTATCTAATAGTCAAATGAAAAACAAAAAACAAAAATGGAGTCTTCAACCATGGAAACACATTTATCACAGTCGAACAATGAATACAACGTAAAATTTGAGTGAGTCCAGTTTGAAATTTCGAGAGATAAAGAATAAAAAGCATGTTGGCAAGTGAAGTCACCTGTTGTTCTTTGCGTTCGAGCTCCTTTGCTATTTTTGCCGCCACTGCATCATCAAAAGCACTAAGAACAGCAGCTGGCGCTTTCCGATTAGCTTCTGACTGAGCCATAAATACGACCATTACGAAACGAATAATAATGGCGAAGCGCTTCCGGAAACAGTTAAGAACAGAAATGATCAACAGCGAGACTCCACATGTTGGGATAAGGCCGAAAGGACTGCAGTTTATGAAATTTTACCTAGTTGCACAAGCGACGTCACCATTCGGAAGGCCTTTCACCGCCCAAGCCGTGAGTGCCGGTAATTGCACTAACTGATTATGAACCAAACTGTAAAAATACAGATTGCATTTGGTGTTCAATTGCAATTTTTCTAAAATTTTACCTATATTGGTCTTCGACACAAAGCTGTCTCCAAACTTCGACGTGACCACCTTCGCTACACGAAACAACATTATTATCTACCAGTGCAAGACTGAAAAATAAAAGTTTAAGAATGATAACATGTATAAAAAGAAAAGAATGAAAAGAAAAGAGCAATAAAACTGAACGTGAACATTTTCAACAGATGAGAAACGGTATTTATCGAAATTACACATGTGACTGTTGAACAAAAAACGCGACCTATGGAACGCCGATAGAAATTAGGTTGAGCGGCTCGAAGTGTTGTGGTGCCTAATCGGATGACAATCCCTCAGCCGATTGACAACCACGCCCACTTCGAAGCTGTTCAGCTCCCTTTTTAGCGGCTTTCCAAGGTGAGTTTTTTTGTTCAATCACACTTCTTATGCTCTTGACTAGGGCTAGCGCAACGTTCCACGCCATTAGTGTCGAAGTTAAAAATCCTGCTGGGAATGCCGCTCTAAATCATTAGGCTGAAACCACAAGCCGTTTCAAAAATGTTCTGCTCGCAACATCATACATTCCACGAATGTGGAGAAAACAAGAAAAAAATTGCGGTTTGGCTAAAAATGTCAGGAATTGAAGTCAAGACTACAAAATTCTCACCAGAATATAAACGTATCGACCAAGGAAGTGTAGGTAGCAAGACAAACACCGGTTTCGGTATGCCACATACGTACTGTGGAGTCATTACCAGCAGAGAGGAATCGATCGACGGAGACAACAAGAAGAGCTCGAACAACGTCAGTGTGGCCTAAAATATAAATATAATTCCGATAATGAATGAAGTGAACTTAGAAAAAAATTCGGTAAATTTAGCGATCGGGATTATAAATATGGAAAACGATGTCCTGCTGGAATGCGTCAAACTTCTGGGAAGTGCTAAGGTTCTAGAATGAGCGATACTTGTCATCGCTGCGATAGAAAGCGTCCATTAATTGGGGAAATAGGTCCCAGAGTCAGGCACTTTGCAGATCGAGTGTGAAGTAGGTACGTATAGGTCTCGTTACTTACCTATTCCCCACTCAAACTGCAATGTACTCTCAATGCTATCAGCAACGCCTTAGTTGCCAGCATCCTCTATCCGTGCCTCTCCTGGACTAATCACCTCTCGTTCCCTCGTGGCCACTCTTCTTTCCCAAAGCGGGCTCTCTACTGTGGTCTTTACCATGGGGTAGGTGGGAAAGGAAGGAGAACAAACCTTGGTTGTCATTGTTCCATCACTTATCACCTATCGTAACATTTTAACCCTACTATCCACATCCCGTTATCGTACAATGTGGTTCTGAATAGATTCGCTGGCGACACACTGCTTTACACACATTAATTCTGAATAAGGCTTTCTCCTTGGTTTATTATATCATATTTAGCGGAGATTGATGAGAAACATGGAAACAAGTGCGCGAAAACCGCAAGAATGAACTGCCAGTTATGAGCTAACCCACACTGGTAGAAAAAAAAACATAACAAGTGACACACCTGTATACGTCCTGACTTCGTTATCATCTCGCCAAAGTTTGATGGTTTTATCTGCACTTCCTGTGAGGTAATAACCCGGAGTGGACTCAATAGCCGCGAGTGCCCATACAGACAATTTATGCCCATTAAGAAGCAGAGCCTGAAACCGGGACACTTCAAAGAGCCACTTTACTTTCTTGAATTATTATACTTCACCTTCACTTAGTATAGCGTACCTTTTCGTGAGAACCCTTGGTTCTCTTCGACACTACAAGAGGGTCTCACGAACAACAAAAGTAGTAACGATGAAAATTACCAATTCGTAAAAACCACACTGATTCAAAAGTAAAATCACTCACCGGATATTCAGGAGCACCAAGTTCCTTGATAGGCCATACTATGACATTGTTGTCCCACGACCCGCTAAGGAGAATGTGATTTTTCTCGTCAACATAAAGGCAACACACTAAAAAGATTAGTACGATAGGGAGGAGACCTTGAATGTAAATTTGAAAACTATGCACATACCATTTGAGGAGTGCTGTGTTAGTACAGTCAGAGGCTCACTAGATCCTGAGCCGTAAACGGCTATGGACCCATCCTTCCGACCGACGAATAACCGCCAACCATCAGTCGATTCATAATAACCTATCGAGTTCACAGCTAATCCTTTTGGTTGGGGAAACGAAATGGTTTCTGAGAACTCTCCACCTCTGCAACAAATATACCATTGCAACGCTGCATTGCTCAGCACTAAGAATTGTTCTGTAGTCTTATGTTGATCTAAATGTGTAATAAACAATGTGAGACTTCAAACTATTTATTGCAAAAGACTCAAAACTTTTACAAAAGAAATTGCAAAATGTGTGTTTGCAAAAGTTTTGCAAAAGTTTAGGCCTTTTTGGCGAGCTTTCGGCGCTTAGCGCCTTTGTCAAGCCTGAAATGAAATGAGTAAGTAGAAGCTTTCAAAGTCTTTAAAAATAACTAAATAGCCAACTTTTGCAATTTTTTGTAGAAGTTTTAGAGTCATTCGCAATGATAATTGAGGTCTCAAACTCACCTTTTAGTCCAAAACCTCACATTTTCGTCTCGTCCACCGGAGATGAGAACCCCGGCTGACGTTGACGTTATGCATTTCACATCGGCTTTGTGAGCATCGATGACCCTACTGAGATAGAAATCGTCGCTTTCTGTGGGGTCCTCCATTTCGATGTCATTCATACCTGAAATTCAATAAAACGTCAATTCAAGCTCAGCCGAAAGGGTCGAATAATACCTTGCAGTTCAAGTGTGGAACAGATATATATCAATGGGCGATGCTCGATCGATACGTATCCGTTCCACGCTTGAAGTACAAAAAGAAATGCAAAGCACGATTCGACTGGGGTGTTCATACTAAGACCGACGTCATAGTAGGCGACGGACCAAGCGATGGAGCGATCGCGATCGGTCCATCGCTTGGTCCGTCGCCGACTAT